GATCCCGGTGAGCCTGAACCCTGACTCGGAAGCCCACTTAGAGGCGCCCGAGTGTTCGCAAGCACATTGGACGGAGAAAGGTCTGTTTGTTTGACCGGCCAAGCACCGATGAAGCAACATAGCCCTTTCCTTCAAAGTCTGTCCGAACCCCAACCTGTAAACGCCGAAGCACCGGGCTCAGTTTCGCTGGGAAGTTTGACAATCTCTTGCGCGAGTTTGGCCATCTGCCGCCCGTCTGCACCCGTAACATCCTTGGGTCAAAATCCCGATGTGGAGGTTTGCAGTGTAGCTTTTACCTCCCTGATATTATCCCCCATCGCCCATCTGTTCAGCAGCACTGCGAGGTCAAAAGAGCATCTGACATAGTCGAGAACTTTGGAGACACTTCGGATTGCAATAGCCTATCATGTACAACTACAGGACAATGAACTTCAATTGGGCATGGTCATTGAAGGCGAGGGCCTGAATACCTGGGGCCCAGACTTGCCGGTTCGGGGTCAGGGAAAGTGGAGATGACAGCAACCTCGAGCTCTCCCACCGTAAGAACCTTGAAGCCGTCTAGCCCAGCAATGCCTGTCCTGTCGTGTGAACCGTGAACTACCCACACACACACACACACGTACAAACCCCATCCCCAAACTTCTTAATCCCTTCGTTGCCGCCGCGTCAGCCCAGCGCAGCCCTTTCATGGTTTGGGTGTCTTGCTTGGAAGGCTCCGGAAGCGAAGAGAGCAGAGTTCACAAGCAAAATGCGCAATCGTATGCCTATTACATCTTAAAATGGAACGAGTGAGGCTCATGGAAGACACTTAGTTGTAACAGACTCAATAGTTGACTCAATAGTTCTGTCCTGAGGTCGTAGCATTCGAAGCATCAACGCGCATCATTGATCACCCAGGAGAAGTTTCCACCAGACGCTGCGCAGTCTGGAATATGAAACTGCCCAGGTGCGGAAGGACCTGGCGCCAAGCGGGTGCGGGTTTCTGTGGGGACTCGTCAGCGGTTTTCCGAGGTTTCAAAGTTTGATGTTTTTATAAGGGTCTCAAGAACAGCTTCTTCAAATGTGGGGACACTTGTCCAGAATGCTCTTTTGAGGAATCCTTATGACGAGGAATCGTGACAGAGGGCCCTACTATCTGGGATTGTGTGGGTCCCCATTTTTTGTTTCCTCATAATGTACAGTGCTTGGAAGGGTTGTCGGAAGTTATGCCCTTGAGCACAACGATCTTGATTGAGGCCATACAATTGTCTACAACAATCCTACCTGTACCCTAAAGCCCTGGCTAATTTGTTCGGGACCCTGTCCCAAACCCTAAACCCTAACGCTCTAAGGCTCTGAGACCCGTGCGGGAGGACCTGATGGAGCTGCACAGAAACAGCATCCCTGAATGACGCTGACTGTTCTTGAACTCCAACAGATGTATCATCAACGGTATATTTGCGTAGAGGACCCCAACTAACTAGGCCTAGCCCTCAACCCTTTTTTGACGAACCCTTCGAAACTCTGTAACCCCTAGACACCCCCTTCAAAACCGTACGAAAGAAGCCGCCGGGGCTGGAGCAAGGACCTGAAGGAATTGACATTTGCAGCCTCTTGGCTGGCACTTCGGGGCTTAGTGGGCAGGTTCGTTGTTTAGTAGCAGTAGTAGCAGTAGTAGCAGTAGTAGTAGCAGTAGCAGTAGCAGTAGCAGTAGTAGTAGTAGTAGTAGTAGTAGCAGAAGAAGTAGTAGTAGTAGTAGTAGTAGTAGCTGTAGTTGTAGTTACGGTTCAGCTTGACGGGTGTTAGGAAGTTCAGTGCTTGGAGTTTTGTTGGTTGTCCGAGCTCCCTTATGGGTTTGGTGATTCCGTGGTATATAACTTATAACGGAAGGAGGCGATACCTTTTTGAAGCGGTTGCCGAGGAACCTTAGTCTGTGTGGGTTTGGGACCGACCTCGCTTCTCGAGTCAGGGCATGACTCAGCGGCTTTGCCTTCAGAGATGCTCGTCTGATGCGTCACCATGTCGATCTAGCAGGCATTATCGACGATGCACCATAAGCCCTAAAGCTTGAAGCCGAAGCCTTCATGAAGCCCTGGCTTCCCTACTTCCTGTACCGCGTCAAGCCAGGTCTCGCCGGTGTCCGAAATGTCCAGCCTCATGGATGTGGCGGTGGGGAAGGTGAGAAGCAGTCTGCAGCAAGTCACCTTGTCTCACATGGGATTGCACGGTGGTTTAATTTAAGTAACTATGTAGGCTTATGGGTTTAGGGAGAAGATTGGCTGACTCAGTTCAAGCAAGTTTGTATGCATACATGCAAACTTATAGTTTGGTACATTAATACATGTGTGCATCCATGTCTGTCTGTCTGTATGTACGTAAGTAAGTAAGTATGTATGTATGTATGTTTGTTTGTATGTTTGTATGTATGTATGTATGTATGCATGCATGCATGCATGTATGCCTGCACCTACGCATGTAGATTAGCATACATGCACAGGCCCGTAGACACATCAGTTCACACACCGAGATAGATAGATAGCTCGATCGATAGATCGATAGAAAGATCGATAGATAGATCGATAGATATAGGTGTGCATATAAATATATAGAGAGAGATAGAGATAGAGGTTGATACATAGATAGATGAATAGATAGATAGATAGATAGATAGATAGGTAGGCAGCTACGTGAATAGATAGTTGGACATAGATAGATCGAGATCGATAGATAGATAGATAGATAGATAGGTAGGTTGCCTGATAGATCTCTGCCCGAAGCCCGGTCGACAGCCGACTAGACTTTCTTGTTCCCAGCGAGCCCAGCACCCTTCAAGTAAAGCATGTACCTGGAACTACAGAGGCTACTTCTCATTGTTTAAGATACATGTTTCTGTGTTAAATTAAGAATTGTGTTTTTGCGTAGCTACCAGATGTAGAAGGCCCGCTCTGTACTCGACTGAGGATGTGCGCGACATCGTGTCAGCCGAAGTGGCCACGCTGCGGAAGCTTGACTCTAAGCACTCTCATCCACGAGATGCCGTAGCAGCTGTGGCAAATGCTGCCTGAACAGCTCATGCATTGTAGGAGAGGCAAGCACCACGAATGAACTTGAGGTGTCATTTGCTGCCGAAGATTCTATCCTCAGAGTCGGGTAGACAGCAAGGCTTTTCACCACCCCAGACCCCAAACCGCACAGACGAAACCTCAGAGCCTGAGCCCAAACCTATTTTGCTACCTCCCGCATCAAGTTGGAGGCTGTTTGGACCCATACCCGAGCTCGGACGTTCAGGGGTTTACCTACGGGAAGGAGATGAGGGAGGTTCCGAGGGTCCTGAGGGTTTCGAGGCTGTTTGGGCTAAAATAGGGAGCTATTGTGGAAACTACATGCAGGAGAGCGCTACCCACAGAGTTGTCGGACTTTGGCTGACTTTGTGGGGGTTTGTGGGGTTCTAGAGCTTCGGTTTATGATAGAAAGTTTGGAGAGTGCCTCGTATCATCCAGCATGACAGGCCCCTCCCAACACCCACTATAGAACGGCCATCAATGCCCCGACCCTGCTGCAAGGTTCTAGAGGCTCATGGGTCCTAGTGAGGCAGGAACTAGTATTCACCCAAACATATCCGAGCAACTAAGTAAGCTAAATGGTCCGTCAAAGAGGAAGCATCGGTTCTCAAAGGTCCGCCCGTCAATGTCAAGCGAATCGGAGATTGAAAGTTGTGGGGCCAGGGCCAAATTCACAACCCCAGTCCACGCGTGGGTTCTGAGTCGAGGGAATGCCGATCAGCGAAGCTTGGATCCTGGATTCTAGCTTTCGAACTTTCGAAGTGGTAAGTAACAAATGTGCTTTGAGCCCTAGTCCAGGTTGGCGACAAACCACGAGACTCGCCTCGCAGAGAAACAGAAACCAAGGAATCTGTTTCCAAATCGTCAGCCCCCTCTACCGCCCTTTGAGACTCGAGATTCCGCAAGCTACCCACAGGGATGACCACCATCGAAACAAGAATCAAGAGACCAGCAGCGCTTCTGTTCGGGAGCCTCCGGCAATTCGCAGCCAAGGGAGCAGCTGACTCGCCTGCATGAGAATTCTACGACCATGGTCTCTTTGACCTTGCAGAATAGGACGGTTGTCGAGGGCTTCAGTGTGTTACCAGTCGCGTGTCGGATGGTGTCGGGTGTTTAGACGTTCAGGGCTGTGTGAGCAGGTGTTGGGGTATTGATGCCTTCATCTGCGGGAGTGTTGTTCTACCCGCCTCCATTAGGATACCTTATGGCTTTACTCATCATCTACTCGAGGGCTTGAGGGTTTAGGGATTCTGGCAGTTGGTCTGGTAGAATTCAGAGTGTAACTGTGCATGTGCCGGATTGTCTCGATCAAGCTAGTTTAGGCATTACAGTTATCCTCTGTAGATGACTGTAGATAACCTTTCAAGACAAAAGTCGCATCACCAGCATGACCAAGCACTCGTACACGATACGTCGTAGTGACAGCACCTGAAGTGTCTTTTCGTGGTGGTGGTGGTGGTGGTGGTGGTGGTGGTGGTGGCGGGGGTGGTGGTGGTGGTGGCGGTGGTGGTGGTGGTGGAGGAGTTGGAGTTGATCGCAGTAGTCGTGGTAGGAAGTACAGCGCCGTACAGCACTCGTCATCGTAGCGCGACACATGCGCTCACCAGCACTTGAACCATGATGAGCATGACGACCACAGAAACTGCTGCTGCTTGCCAATACGCCTTCTCCTGCAGCTGCTGGCTTAGCAAGCACTACTGCCGCTGCTACTACGATTACGATGACTGCTGCTCTGGAGCTGTCATTCCCAGAATACAGTGGTGTGGCTCCTTGGCCTATGCCGGAGCACTTCCTGTTTCGGTGTACAACTTAGACCCCGGACTGATATTCTTTTCTCCGACATGAATAAATATGGGTGATGACAGCTATCTTGGGACCAGGGCCCTTGCAGGAGGGGTTTTGATCCGACGTGGCGGGATGGTAGTGGTCTTCGTCACCACCATCCTTTCTCATGTGCAGGAAGGATTTTGCGGACCACCAAATTGGCCTGAGCGGCCACTTGTCTGCACAGCGATGCCACGCCCCTTATCCTTCCAGGCTACCGAACAGGCAGAGCATGTCCCTTTCGGTCGCTGGTGGTCCCATTTAGAGTCCTGAGGTGGTGTAGCTTATCTAGCCGAATCCCGGCTGGCCAAACTCCAACTCTGAACCCTAGCTGCCAACTTCCTTTGACGGCTTCAGCCAGCACGGCAAAGTCCTCGAGCAAAACCCAAAGTGACTCAAAGCCACCAACCCATGGCCCGCCATTTGCAGATCCGAAGCCCCGGACGTGTTTCGGCTTTGGCATTTAGACTTAACATCCCAGAGTCTGAACTCCTGGCCCAATTCCCCAAAACACACATTAAGTCGAAATGCAGGCGAGAAGCTGGACGAGCTAATTGAGCTCGGTGAAGCGACACGCAATGCCGTCCAGCGCTACCTGGTGCACATACTGGAAGTGGGGGCTTCGGTAACCGTTGTATACAGACTGCGTCTCTCAGTGTCGCGGCTTGCTGTCACAATGATGACTCATGCCGTGATGACATTGCTTCTGATGATGATGAGGAGGAGGATGAGGAGGAGGAGGACCAGGAGGAGGCCTAGGAGGATAGTGACTGTGATGATCATAATGATGATTATGATGATGATGAAGTTGCCGGTGATGAATGAGGCGACAGTTTCACTGTGCACGAATTCACAGTTCGTATTCGTCGTGCTGCTGTTAGGGCACATATGGTCATGACCGCCGCGGATCCGGCTTCTTCAGCAACTTGACAACAACTATTTCTACAACTACTATGACTGCCTTTACTGCCAGTGGTGGTGGTGGTGGTGGTGGGGGTGGGGGTGGGGGTGGGGGTGGGGGTGGGGGTGGGGGTGGGGGTGGGGGTTGGGGTGGGGGTGGGCGGCGGCGGCGGCGGTGGTGCTGCTGCTGCTGCTCCTCCTCCTCATCCTCCTCCTCCTCCTTACTCTGCCACTGCTGCTGCCGCTGCTGAACCAGTATTAGTACTAGTAATGCTACGACGTCGACAGCGTCGAAGACGACTTCTGCTAAGAAACCGATGGTTGCCTGACAAAGGACACTTCGATGATCTTCAGGCGGAGATCCAAGCTGACAGGAGCCGGAGATTCGTTCCGAGCGTTTGGGTCCTTGCTACGTAGCCAACGACAATTATAATTATATAATATATATATATATATATATATACGTATGTATATGTATATGTATATATATATATACGACACGCGTAGGTGTGTACATACATGTATAAACATACGTACGTACATAAACGTATGCATGCATGCATGCATGCATGCATGCATGCATACATCCATACATACTCGTACATCCATACATACATAATTTCACTTGTTGTACCTATACCGAACAGGTATTTATGAAGATGCGCATATACGTCAATGTAATATTTTAGTAGATCAACTCCAAACTCTTGGTCGTCTTGAGTTAACACGAGCTCAGTTTCGGACGCGGTCTTCCTGGTATTCGTTGTATGTGCGGCTTCGGTGTATCTATCTTATCGGCTGTGCACGGCCCTAACGTGCCGACCTGGGTACCCTGCTCAAACCCGGAAGCCTTAAAACGACAGTACTGTCATACCTGGACACCCTCCTTGCATCTCTCAATTCCCTTTATCCCTTTAAAGCCATCGTGCATGACCTCCCAGGCCTGGGAAAATACCAGGCAACATCCGTCAAATACCTTGAAGGAAAGCCCCCCCTCCTCCTGTAAAGAACAAATGTTTTTTTTCAGAGGGAAAATTCTGGCGCCAGGAACCTCATCGAGTACCACTCGAAGCAGATTGGAGCCAACATGCGATGCTTGGCTGCATGTATCATTTTGACTAGTCTGTCTGGGATTCTGGCACCGAACCTTTGGAGAAATTCAGTTGGCATGCCCGGCCACAAAGCTCTGCGGAGCTGTGCTCACACAAGTGTCGTAGTACTCTTTGTATAATCCCGGTAAGCGAGCGGCATATACTACCAACCCACAGGAGTACGTTTCTGTTTATCCTCAGCAAGAGCAAGGCACGTGAAGCCCTGGCCCCAATTCCCTAAGACACTTCAACTTCAACTTCAATCGTGTCAGCGGCTTCTGAATTGTAGATCTTGATAGCAAACACCCCCAAGCATGAGACCCGAAGTCATTCTCGGAAGTGTTGAACACTTGTTCAAACTATACAAGGAGACGAGGCCATGAGGATCCCAGGACTTGTATGCATGCCGAGGAAGCATAGAGGAGAACAAGGGCCGGATCATGTCCAATCAGCAGCTGATTCGTGACGAGCAGGAGAGCAGACAATCTGCTAATGCGTTGGGCTCCAGGGTGCACGCTCAGGACACAGGTTAAGGTTTTAGGCAATCGATGGGTGTGGTGCACTGGTTTTGCTATGTAAGGTTCCGGGAGCTTTTGGCATGTCAGTTTCGGGACAATGGAGGCACAGGGGTCTTGCTGCGTGCAAAACCGGTCATTGACACAATCAATTTCATTCTGAGTACTCCTCTGTTGTTTCTAAACGTTTTGTTTGCTGGATCTTGCTCCGGCTTCTGCTCTTGGTACTGATGCTGCTGCTGGTCCTGCTGCTGCTGCTGCTGCTGCACAATGATAAATATTACTGCGACTGCAGCTGCCACTACTACCTGAATGCCACAGGCGATGGCTGTGAGACATCGTTACCGTCATGGTTGATGCTTTTTCTTGTTGTCCAGGACCGCGCCCGGGCAGAGGCCAATAATGCGGTCGCCCGCGTGCAGAGTTTGCAAGAGATGCTACGGCAGGAGCTCTGCTGCTTGGGAGTTTGGGGCCTGGGCAAAATGGAGCCGGAATAGGGCAACCGGCACTCGTAACCTTGCAGTGGCAGAACTTGCATCCACTGTGCATAGCCCTAGTTTATAATACTCTTCAATGAGGAGCACAACCAGGCAGAGCGAGCCAAGCTGGAGCGTCAGCTCAGTGAGAGCCAGAAGCATCCGGGCATAACGGGCTTCAGGTCGTGGGATGTGTCGGGATGTGTAGCTAAAAAGCGGGCTGTCTACCTTCTCGCAAGGCTGATATCTTCAAAGCAGGGTTTGGTGGCTTACTTGGAGAAGTAGCTACCAATCCCTTGCCCTCGAAGCCCAATTAGAAATGATCATGGCAGGTTACTGGGAAATGGGTACTTTCAGTTGTGTGTTGGCGGTAGCTGGGCTTTTGAGGTTCATTCGCCTCACGCGGAAAGCCTGAAAGCATTCTGGCAAACCAGGACCTGCCACAAGCCGGAACGCCCAGCCCACGATTTCTCTGGCCACCAAAAGCCCCGTCTCGCGTACCAAACACCCAACATTTTTTTACTATGTCGTTCCTACACCCCACACCCATGAACCCTAAATTCGGAAGTTTCCCCGAGCATGGCAGCTTCACAACATGATGGATCCAAAGTAAAGTATGTTAGTTGTACCAGCGCCTCTTACATGCGGTTCACGCGTCCCGAAGTGTCTGAAGCCCCATTCAAACCCGCATAAACCGTTTTAAACACATCATAAACCTATATAGTTTATAAACCCCAGAACAACGCACAAAGCCAATAAAGCATCACTTGTAACTCCTAAAATCCTATAAAACCTTTAGCTTCGCATTGGGACCGCTAGAAAGAGCACCATGCATCTGTTGAGGTACAAGTCCGAGATGGAGTCTGAGCTTACAAGGCTTCAAGATGAGATGACAGCAGGGCTTCAGGAGGCCAGCAGTGAGTGGGGGCTTTAGGCTTCGCGCTTTTGTTGTTTTGCCTTGAGGTTTTCAGGCTGTTGTGCTTACTATCTTTTTACTTTAGGTCGGTTTGTTTGGATAGAGCGCAGGGATGCATAGGGTTTAAGGATCACCTGTGCGGTTCTCTACCCAACAGAGCAAGCAAGTCTCTACTTTACTGCTCACACGGAGGCTCGTTCTAAACTGGGGGGTAAGACTCTGGGTTGGACCTTGATTAGATAACCCCTCACACAACCATGCTCTGGGTCGAAGCCCTGACTGCTGCTCCAGGACATCGATGACTTGAACAGAAAGTTTGATGCCAGGGACTTAGACGACACGACAAAGTCTCTGTCATCTTTACGGGATGCTGAACAGATTCGCACATGCGGTGCTGCGAGACTCAGAGTTCCGCAGCTGCCTGCAGGAATGCCACATCACCAAGCAGAACCACACATTCGTGCGAACCCTGACACCCCAAAAGCCAAAATCCCCGACTCGCTTGAAGGGGGAGTTCGTCCCAAAAGCTCGATCCTGAAGGTCCCGAGACCCGAAACTGCCGAACTGTTGTTCCTTTCTGGCGGTGCACATGGGAACAACAACAAGCCCGCCTCTCCAACAAGGACGTTGGCGAGGCTGTTGAAAAGATCCTTGCTCGCCCCTTTGATACGCACTCTATGTTTCGTTGCAGCTAAGTGGGAAAGCTTTGGCCTTTTCGGGTAATTTTCCTAATCCTGGTCGCACTTGTTTCGGATCGTTGACCTCAGGAACTATAGGTCTTAGGGAGCAACTAGGTGTTGCCTTTCGTGACTTCGGATGTAGGTCGGGTTTCTGGAGTCTGGGTGCACTTCATTGTCACAGGCATGGAGATGCCAGAGCAGCCGACGCTTCTGCAGCAGCTGCACAAGGCAATCCTGTGGGCTGCGGGAAGATAAGGTAGGCAGTTTCCGAGCATTCCGAGAATGAAGGCCGTTGTTTATCCTCGGCTCCCTTCACGGGACCGACCAAACTTTTTCTCAATCTACATGAGCAGTCTTTGCCGTCTTGTCTAGTTTCTCTTCAGTCCAACGCAGGGCACCGCAACAAGAATGGATTGACCCTGCTTCTAGGCACTAGGCTATCAGGTCAGAGGCTTCACCGACCTGGATCAAAAGGTTCTGTCTTGGCTCTACCAGGACCCCAAGGCCAAAGCCCTGAAACCCAACGCCCCAAGCCCAATACGAAGCCCGAAACCCGAAAGCCTGTACACCTAAAGGCTCACTTCCTGCAGCCCTGTGTAGCCTCTCATCATTGATAGTGGCGAGACGACCTTCAGACTCTTCAGACCGGCACCACGCGGCCATTGAATTTCCGGGCTTTGGGTTTCGTGTGGGTTTTTCGTTCGGGATCTTCATTGAACCCAGCGTGTTTTCAGGTTTACTACGGGTCAGCGATTTTGGATGTTGCCCCACCAACAAAACGGCTTCAGGTTTGCCTATCTCCAACAGGCTTTTGTGTAGTCTCCGGAATCCTGAACTGTCATCACAGCGACCAGGTCAGCGAAATCCAGAGAAGAGGCAATCTTGACATCAACCTCAACAACGGAGCCTCCGGCCAGTCTGCAGATTTTTGTAGGTGTTTAGCGGTTGAATCTCATTGCACAGGGTTTAAGCACATCTGTTTCGAGGAGACGTCGTGCTCCTGCGGCCCATCAACTTCAAGCGGAAGAACATGAATGACCCGCCCACTGCAGAGTTCGAAAACGAGAAGGAAGCCTTGGTGCCTTGCCTTCTCAGCTGCGGAGTGCAGGATTACTTTGTTGACAGTTATGGTCACATGAATCTTAGATCTGGACCTGACAGCTTGTAGAGCCTGAAGCCATGCAGGCTGCTCTGCTCGGTTTCGGCATGGGTGACGGATGAGTCAGGCTGTTAAGAGAATCAAGTTCATACTTTGCACGGGACGTGCCCGTAGTACTGAACTTCTTGCCTGGTGTTTTTGTTGTCTCTGACAGCCTTAGGGTTGCTGATTCGGGTCCTTCACTCCTGGGATCCTCAGAGCTCCTGCATCAAGAACGCAGTGTCACCTTGTCAATCACCTTCCGTGATGAGGTGTATGGCCATAGGTAGAAGAGCTGCGTGTCCCACTACCCAAGCCGAACCTCTCAAGCCCAGAGAACCCCAAGGCCATCTAATTCGACTCAGGAGCAGATAGACTCAGGTAGACCTTGTCATTGTAGAACTTCGGTATATTTTGGGTTATAGCCCAGTTTCGGAAATCCTAATGGAACTGCAATCCGTAAACATCCAATCTCTGAAGAAATCCAGATGAAATCCTTTGTCCAGACTGTCAGTTATTCCAGATTGTTATTTGGATTTTCCAAGCCCAAGGAAATCTTGACTGATCTTTGCGAGCTTTGGCAGATGTTCAAGGTCTCCATCGTCACTGGGCCAATCGTGAGGGCTGAGGGGCTTTATGGTGTCGCCGAATCGCTGGTAGAGACTTTGGCATCTAGTCAAGGCGTTCGGGGAGTTTTTGAGCTCTGAGGCTTCTGGTTTCAAGATTTTGGGAAATTTGGGGCGAATCGTTTTCCAGAGCAGCCTAGGTTATCGAAGGGCACACCAAAGACATCGGTGTCGGGACAGACGAGTTCTGGCAAAGCGTGGCCAATAGCCGGGCAACTCGGCAATGCATGCATTGAAGTCCAAGGTACTTTGTTGCCTTGGATCCTTTTGGCTTGCTTTTAGAAGAATATATGCTGGATGAAAGGTTTGGCTTCTTACAGCTTCTTACCAAAGAAGGCTGCTACGCTGAAGCAAAGCCTATACACGATAACACAAATGCTGAAGCCCCCCAATCACCGGTAGATGCCACTTACCCCTGATGCCTAATCAATGGTCTTCGAATCTCTGGCCGAGTAAGAAGACAGCCGACTCCCAAGTACGATGATTGTTATCAAGACTTTAAATGAGGCACCCCCCGTTTGAAGTACTTAAGAAACATCCTATAAAGATCTGAACTGAAAGGCTGCACTCTGCGCTGCGACCATGGGTGTCAGAGCCTCAGTTCTCTGGCCTTTGCTTTCAGCATCCACGCGACGGCGCTCGGGGGACTTGTGGCTTCAATGATGGCAGCAAAAGGACGGTGCAGGGTTTCCGGGTTTGGGATTTACTTTACCGCGGTTTCAAGTTTCCATTAGTCCCCAACCTGTGAGGAATTGTGAGGCGTCAAAAAAAATCACCGAATTTGGGACCTTCTGGGAGTCCGTAGATTATAGCGTAACGTTTAATGACAGCTCAACGCGTCCTAAATGGGCCGCCGGCAAATCATCCCTGATACCTCAACCTTGAACCCAAGTTAGGCCAGAAGCTCTAGACGGTCAGGGGACCCCGAGCCCTGATGCTGACTGACTTCACCTCAAGCCAAAACCCAAATCCGACTATGAAGCCCAACAACCCTTTGAACCCTGCGGAAGCTAAATCTCAAATCTCCTTTCATATACACCAGGAAGCCTATAGATTTCCAGGACTGAGCCAGAAAGTCTGAGAGTCTGAACCCTAAACGCTCCTGTGCCAATGCTGTGGAGAGAAACGCTCGCAAAAAAGAGACTCCTGTGCTTTGAAGTATGGTTTCCCAGGTCATGGGCGTGGATCTGTCGCAGGTTGCAGCTGTGGGCAAGCCTGGCAAGACAGGTTCGCGCATGGCCTACCTGCTTAGAGTTATCACTGACGCTTGGGTTGAGGTTGTCGGTTTTCAAACCTCTCCCGAATTAATTCCTTTGCTTTATAACCACAACAAACATCATAGGGCGAATGACAGTGGCCATGGTAACTCAACTGAAGGGTTGCGGCTCTCACAATAACCTTCGCGCAGTATGTAGAATTGCAAGTTGCTCTCTGGACCCAAACCCTATATAAAGCCTACATGAAGAGTGGGAAGAGATTCTTGCATGGCACACGGCCCCCAAAAATGATGTCGCTGTTTATCTAGGAGTTGATCTGAAGGAGCCTACTTTTCAAAAGGGCTTCGAAGGAGACAACAGTTCAAGCCAATCACTGTTCTGCGGTTATTGAGGCTTGGGTAAATCCCGAAATGCTGGGGCCCTACTGTACCCATACTCTATGTCCCTCTTAGTAGTGTCCTACCTGCAACTAAACCTCCACACAATTGCTGAAAAGAGATTCACCTTGGGGCTCCGTTTAGTATATAGCAGGTCCAAACAAACCAAGAATTGGGTAGTTGGGAGTCTTGTGGGACAGAGTTTCAAGACGTTTTGTGTATGGTTGGTTTTGTTTTGTGGCATAGGGTTGCGAGAACCAGCAGTGGTTATAGTTATAGGTTCATGCTTCGGGGAGTATATGGTCGTTAGATACTTGAACCTGCTAGGTTCTGAAATGCTACCCCGCGACATTGACATTGCAGGTCTGAACAAAGCTGCCTTGGTGATCTCTTTCGACCTCTTCCCGGACTTGGACTGAAGAGTGACATTGCCAACACACAGCAGTAACGCAATAACCTAAACCTGAAAGGGTAAGCTTCCAAACCAAGCCCCAAAGGCTTATAAACCTCTAACTATAATTAAGACTCGCAACTCTGAGCACGCTCTGCACGGCTACTGGTAGTCCACGAGGTGGACAGGAGCTGCCAGCTATCCCTCAGCAAAGCTGAGCGGATGCCTATAAATATGGGTCCAAGTACTTAAGCAGCGCAGGACTTTCAGATTGTCGGGCCTTGCCGGTATGTACCATGTACAACTTGAGCACCTGGACCCTAGGCTGTTGGAATCTCTTCATGAAGCAAGCAAAAAGCTGCTTCCATGTATATATGTGGGAATGTCCCATATTGGACTTGGGGCTTCGAGGGGGCTTAGGTCGAAGGAAATCGGGATCAGGTTAAGGTGTTGATTTCAGTGTTTATGAGTGTGCCCCTATCATCCAAGTCCATGTATACTCGTTTATGAAAGGACCAACACCTCACTCTAGATACTATACTTTCCGCTAGAAGACCCTTGAAGAGCCGTGGGCAAGCCTTATAGCTAAGCCTGGTAGAATCTCAAGCAGCTCAACCGGTAAAGAAGGGGTTGTAAACCAACGAGGCTGCTATCCATTTGGGCGCCTGTGTTGCCGTATTTCTTCCGAAAGGTTGGGGTTGATCGGTACATGCCTGGCAGCATTCTGCAAGCATACTGGCTTGAACCCCCTGCAGTGGAGCGTCACTGTCAACCCCTAACCTTTGAACCAATCTAGCTGGACACGAGATATCCCGAATCCCACCAAAACCCTAGCCCGAGAGGCAAGCCTGGAGCCCTAAGGCCTGTATTTCCTTAAAGCCCCAGCCGCGTAACTGAACCACTCTCTCGCTCTGTCGCTCTCTCTCTCTCTCTCTCTCTCTGTCTTTGCCTGTCTATGTCCACGTACGTATAATCATGTTGGTGTATATATGTACTATATATATATATCTATCTCTCTCTCTCTTTCTTTATTTATTTATCTATTTATTTATTTATCTTTGTAAACTAATGAGTATTCAATGTAATGTAATGTTACGTTTACGTCTAGATAGTCTCTATATCTGTGTGTGCACATATATATATATATATGTGTGTGTGTATATGTGTCTGTGCACATCCTTCGACTGTCTCGAGCGGTCGTAGGGTACAAAGTAGGAGTGTTGAGAGCCAAATAGCCCAGTCAATAATTGAAGCGTAGCCCGACCCAGAGACCTAAGCAATCCCTCCAGCCTGCAGCTCAAGGTATATTTTTGAATTAAGAAGTATTGGGCTCTCAGTGTGTCATCGTGGACCCTTAGCCGCAAGCCCTAAGACCCCGGACCCGCTTTGGGGTTTCGCTCCCTGAGCCCGAGCCGCCATCCTCAGTTGAGGCCCGGCAAAGCCGGGAAGGTTTTCGGCCACGCTGGGCATGTTCCAAGTCGAACTCGGGTTTGGGGTTCAGGCTTTAGGGTGGAGGGTGGTTTAGGATGGTTCAGGAGCTTAGGAGTGCAGCTTCGGGGTCTCGGGTTCAAGGTTTGGGTTTTAGGGTCATCGTCGTCCTAGCTTTGCCAGGCCACTTGGGTCAAACAGAAGAAGGACCAAGAAGGAACATACGGTGTCTGTTGGTACGGCTGGTGATGCTGAAGGTGATGATGAGCATCAGGAGGAGGAGGAGGACGACGACGAGGCGTACAATGACGATCATGATGATGATGGTGATGATGATGATGATGATGATGATGGGAGTGATGATGCTAATGATGAGTGTGAAAACTGACAGTGAATGCTCTGCCGACATAAAGCCTCGACCCAACGGCAACTGACACACGCCACTGTGTCCCGGCGCCGCCTTACTCATCACCGCCCCCTGTCACCATGTCCACCACCACCGCCACCACACCCCTGCCGTCACCACGACAACCGTCGCCCCTGTGGCTAGATATGATCGGCGATGGTCAAGGTACGATTGTCGTCATGGTGCTGTAGTCGTGCAAAAGTCCTCTAACTCGTTTGGGGCTCCATCTATATTATAAGCTCAAACATAAGCTTCTTATGTTTGATGCGGCTTCTTGAAGGGGCCTTCCTGCAACGTCTTGCTACCTCGGCTTGATGTGTTCCACCTTTGGTTGCATGGTGAATGGATTTCCCAGGTCGGTGCGAATGGGGCATAGAAGGTAGAAAGATTTCTTGTGACATGCCCACTCCGTGAGCTTGCCGACCAGCGCCGAAATCACCAAAACGTGTTGATACATGTCACGGTGGTGTTCCTGACCTGAGCCAGTGGTTGCACTCATGAGGACTGGCAGGGTTAACCTAGACAGAGTTCCCGGTAGTTTACTTGGAGGCTTGTAGCTAAAAGAAGTCATTGCGTGTCGTGCTGCAATTGAGGCAACAATAGGATAGATATTTCTTGGAAGCCATTGAAACTATGTGTGAACCTGCAAGTACAATCGATCCCAACTGTGAGCCTCCTACGGTCTTGTAAAGAGTTTTGGCACTCGCACATGATTCAGAAATTCAGAAAATCACCAGGGGAGCACCGGACGCCCAGCTTGCAGGGATAAATCTGAACCGCAAGCCCGACCGAAACCTGGGCGTGGGCCCTAAACCCTAAACCTCTTCTTTAAACCCGACAATCTTATGGTCTTGACCTGAAAGTGCTGCGGTTTGAAGCTTAAGTCGTTAGCAGCCTCGAAACTCGAAACTGTAGAATAAAATATGCCCAACCCCTGAAACCTTACAGCGTAGCTACTCCCAGATCCCCGAAAGCCCAGACCCCCTATAACATGATGAACTGTTGCCCCGTCCCTAACAAACGAGTTGAAGGAATGGGCACTCGCCATCTTCTCAGCTCGCCCCGAGGACTTCTCCGAGTGAGGAGGGTTTGGAGTTTGGTCTTACGGTTCCCGCTGGTCTAGATTTGTTTCTGCTTTGGGATTTAGTACTAATTTATTGCTTCGGGTTTGGAGTCTGAGGTCCGGTCTGGGATCAGGGTGTAGAGGCTGAAGTCACCACAAGGGCAGTTATCCGACAGTTGTTATATGACGTAATTATACAACCCTGACCCTAGTTAGTCCAAACTCTAAATCCGATGGTAAACTGCAAGCCCACGGCCTATACCGATACCCTGACCCGTAACCTTGGACCCCAAGCACCCGTCTAAAGCCCTAATCGGCAAGGCCTGCGCCTTGCAGGTCACCGTACCGAACTTAATCGGTACACATGTCGACTGACGGCTTCCTGCTGTAGGTTGTTCCATCCTTTGTTGAAGGGGGGTTTAGGTGTGCAGGGGTGCGGGTTTGAGGGGTTCAGGGCTTAAGGGTTCCGCGCCGCGACCCCGTGGTCTTAAACGTGCGGGATACGCTTGCATTCTGGCTGGTTCGCTCCTGCAAGAACGCCGCGTCGAGCATCCGCCTAAGACCCTAGGACTAATGAGGGTAAAAAAGCCAGAATCATGTACAGTGCTACAATTTGACGACCCAGTTTAGCTGCTGAGTAGGTCTCGTCATACATATCTTCGGCAGCGTTGTCAGCTTGTATTCTATACGGTCAGGGACAAGTACCTGAACTCTCTCATTTCGGGACCTTACCCAAACCCTCCAGTCTTTAATCACCCTTAAGTCCGACCCTCCACAGTTGCTAAGACCCTACGAAGATACCGAGAGGGCCGGGGCATGGTATGGTTTGCCATCGGCTCAGGAGTCCTCAGAGACGCCTCCATCCGCTTCTTGGCTGCAGGCTTCATGCTAGGACTTTGCTGCCGTGTAGATCCACCGCCTCAGCCCGACTTACTAAGCAACACGCTCTTGAAACGCCAAAGCCGTGTAGTACCTTCGAAGACCCTAAGCCCGAAGCTATTGTGGTACTTTTTCTTTCAGGGCTCTGAACTTAAATCTAAAACGTTAGCATTACTACAAACCCAAGTTTGTCAATCCGACGAGGTGTACAACTCGCTCCTCTCGGCCTGTGGTAGGGCTGAGGCGCTCCGATACCTTAGGCTTTCTGCAGGGTCAGGGTCTTTGATGCAGGGATCATAAGGAGTCAGCCTGAGAAGGGTATGGGGTTTCGGATTTTTGGGAAGCTTGATAACTTGGACCGTTTTCGTCAATGATGGTTGGCTGTGCTCCCGAGAGGTTCAGTGACCGTCATGTGGTCCATCCTTCCCTCTGTTGCTATATTGCCCAGCTTTTGGTCTCCTCCCTCTCTCTCTCTCTCTCTCTCTCCCTCCCTCACTCTCTCTTCCTCACTCTCTCTCTCTCTCTCTCTCTCTCTCCCGCTCTCTCTCACTCTCTCTCTCTCTGTCTCTCCCCCGCTCTCTCTCGCTCTCTCTTCCTCTATCTCTCTATCTCTCTTCTCTCTCTCCCTCTCTCCCTCTC